TCTTTTACATTCTATACATTTTTCATGGGCTGCCCGAAATCCTTTGGTGCGCCATGGGCCATATGCTGTGCAGACCTATTTTAAACCCAAATCACTCTGGCTCTCATTGGCCAACAATAGTTCCCAGCCCAAGCCCATGGGATCACTGTTTGGGCCCTAATTGCTCAGAGTGAGTGTAAATAGCAATTGTTTCTGTTTTGGCCAGAAACTCTGAAGGTCTTCCTTTTTTTTTTTTTGACAAGGTAAAAAAGTCCATTCTCTATCTCGTTTCTTACCTAGCCTTCATCAGTGAATAGGTGTTGCCTCAGTCAAAATGAGACCTGGGAAAGACCTTACTTTTAAAAGGCCATGGTCTCCCACTGCTTCTAAGGTCCCCTCCTACTCTAAATCTAGAATTTAGGTTGAAATAGATAGTGTACAAGACCAAGATGAGACTCTAAGTCTGCTACCTTCAAAGAATTTTTCTCTCTTTTTCTTCTCCTTTTAGAATCTCTCTTTTAACTTAAGCAGTAAATTTATTTCAGGTTAGGGATATGTGGACTATCCTATAACATGGTTTACCATCTTCTGTCATTTAAAAAAAAGTAAATAACTCATGAAAAAAGCTATATGACCTGCATACATACAAAATCCTTGATAGGAAAATATATTTTTTCAGGTTTTGAGCTAACCACAATTATCTACCAGGCTGTTAGGAGGATCAAAGTTCTGAAACATGAAAGAAGAAAAGGATTTTTACATTGTTGGAAATAGATAATCATTTTTTTCTTAAGGAACTCTATAGAATCATAAATTATTAATTTTAGACTTAAAGCTGGAAAGGATCATAGAGGCCATTGAGCCTAGATCCTTCATTTTACAGATGAGGAAACTGAGGCACAGAGAGATTAAGTGATTTGGCCACACAGCAAATAAGCATGTGAGGCAGGATTAGAACTCATCTTCTTCACTCCAAATTGAGTACTCTATCCATTATATCATGTAGCTCCCTTTAATTAGTGTCATTATCCAGGATTCTCCTTTCTGAACAGCCCCAGAAAATTATCATGAGCAAAGTATAATTGGCCTCCAAGGGTGCTCTCTGATGGCCATTAGCCATTCCACCTGAGAGCAAAGCAAGTTGTCTTTTGAAATCCTATTTTGCCAGAGGTTAATTCAAATACAGAAATGTTCAAAAGACAGCTAGAATATTCATTAGAGAGCCTTCTTGTTCAGTTTTCTGAAGTCTCACCTCTTGGAAGAAAAGACCTTGTCTTGAGATTCAAGTTGGCAACTTAACATTTGCTGCAAATGCAGCTGAAAAGCGCATTTCACAACTAAGTGTCCCATTGATTACATATCAAGAGACTTAAAATACACATAGAATTAATTTTTAAAAGCACTTTGGGCCTCCTCATATTCTCTGATGAATGTGCCACACAGAAGACCCAAAATCATCCTATCATCAGTATAAGATTCAAGGACACTCTCCTTTGGTCACAGTGACCTTCTTCATCCAATGGCCTCTGGTCATGAACAGAACTGGTGTCAGCCCTTACCTGCAAGAAGAAAGTCATCTTAAAACACTGACATGCCCAGCTCACAGGCAGAAGGCTGTATTCCTATATCCTGTCACTAGATGAGGTATCCATACCCTCAATCTGAGGATAAAATTGTCTGCAAGTTGAAATATAGATGATGTAGTGGGAGATGAAAAGATTCATAAAATTATTATATTATTCATTTTTCTGCCCTGGAAGAAGCTTGATGATTAAAGAAAACAACTACCTGAGACCCAACTGCTTTACAGATAGCCTATAAATTTATACTGATAAAGTAAAAGGAGACATTTTCACCCTCTCCACTTTCCTCAAGCCGTTTATGCACAACTTTTCCTTCTCACAAACAGTACTATTCATCTTCTGCCAAGATATTAGGGTAACAAGGATGTTGGTGTTCAGCTTACCCCCAAGCTATGAATTCTGAAAGTTTAAAGCATTTCTGGAGAGTCTGGAGAATGCCCTGTGGAATGCCAGCGGTGCTCTTGTAAGACAGGAGTCTGAGAAGGAAGAGAATTGCACCCCTGGAGACACTCTGATTCTGAGAATATCTCAGGCCCTAGCAGCAACCCGTGAGACAACATGATTATGAAGCAGTTAAGGGGAAGTCTTTACAAGTGAATAGATTTGATTTTTTCACTAAGGTGGCTTTCTCTTCTTACTGACGCAACTTTTTCCTTAATCATACTCTCCTTGGAAACCAGAGACAATTTTCAGTGAGGGAAATTTATTCATAGTGCCTGACTCTTGGTCCATTGCCTCAAATACTAAGGAATGCTATTTGCATAGAAATATATTTGGAAATTACAGCAATATAAAGATTCAGGTACTGGCCCATTGTGTGCAAGTTGGAACTGTGACCATTTTTTGGTTATATTCAAATGTACCTATGATCTAATCAACTAGTGTCCTTCCTCCACACCTTGTATTTATTATTTTTCCATCTATATATGTACATCCCATTCCCCTTCCCCCCAATAGAATGTAATTTCCCTGTGAATAGGGATTATTTCATTCTTTTTGTTTCTTCACTGCCTAGCACAGTGCCTGGCACATAGTAGGTGCTTAATAACTGCCTATGGAATAACTAATCAATTTGAGTGTTTCTTCCAATAATCTCAATCACGACCTCTCCATGCCTGCCCATCTTGTGCTACTCTTGCCTGTGTCTTCTCATTGGGTCATCACAGGTTCTATTCAATGTACTGGAAAGGATGAATATATCTAATTTCGACTCATGTTTTAAAAATGGGCTAATCGTAATGCATTCTACTCATATAGCACTGTAAAAATCAAAGGTAATTTAGATTATTTCACTTAATCCCTCAGATCTTACACATACATTACAGTGTAAAGGAGCCAGCCCTGGGTATCAGGCCTTGCTGATGTTTTCCCAGAACACTAGCTCCTTCTTTCCATATCCAACCCAGAGAACTTTGAACTCTGTTCTTAAGACTAAAAGTATTCACTTTTCTCCTGTCACTGAAGTCCAACCTGAGACAACCAGCTTCCAAGGCCTCCAAGCAACCTAGTCCTTTGGATTCTCAGATACCCCATATCCAAGTGCAATCACACATCCATCTTCTATTATTGCCACATCTCCCGACACAACTTCCTTCCCACTGCTCTAGGCGAGGACATCAATCTTTCTTGTAGTAAACCCTTAAGTGAAGGTTGGTAATTGAGCACTTGGGCTCTGGATTAATACTCCTGACTGTAATCTTCCAATCACTCTTAGCCAATCAGGAAACATTCTAATGTCATTAAAGGGTTTTGCTTAATTATCCATATAATTGATGACTTAGATAATTGATTTTCCTTTTTCTGGCAAAGGAGTAAAAAAGAAAATCAAAACAGGTGAAGATAACAGAGTTTGAAGCGGCACAGTTTGAGCCAGGTTCAAATGTAGCCTCTGCCTCATACGAGTTGTGTGACCATAAATGTCCACCCTCCCCCTTTCTTGATGCCACTTGCCCCAGATTTGATTTGTGGTACATAGCCAAGCACAAAAATTCCTCCTCACTGCTCTGTTTAGATGTCCAGTTCTTAGTACAGTGCCTGGCCTGTAGTAGGCTCTTAATAAATTTTTGTTGATTGATTGATTGATGTCTAAAATAATTGTACTTAGCTACCACCAGAATTTTACTCTTCCTTAGCATGCTCTAATTTTCTTCCCCATCCTGAGTTCATACCAGATAAAAACGTGAGCATTCATCACAGAAATTTTGTGAAAAATCTCTTTCCCAATATGATGACAAAATCAGATCCCAGATCACCAGTATCATTAAACTGTTCAGTTCTACATAATATGGCTACTACCAAAGCCTGATAATTTGCCCATACTGTTGTGTCAATGTGGACATGGTTTGCTGAATGAAAAAACCTAAATAACACATGTTCATGAATCTCTATCCACTTAATAGTTGAATGAAAAAAGTTATCCTTTTGATACTTAGGCAAAAGAGAGCTGAGTCTAGAATCAGGAAGACTTGAGTTCAAATGCAGCCTCAGACACAAGTCTTTTAACCTCTCATTGCCTCAGTTTCCTCAACTGTAAAATAGAGCTCAAAATAACACCCTCTTCCCAAGGTTGTTGTAAAGATTAAATTAGATAATATTTGTGGTGTGCCTGGTACATAGTGCTGTATAAATGCTTATTCTCTTCCCCACCCACCCACCCATCACTGTACTTATCCTTGCTATGTGAGGTTTGAATTCCTGTAAAAATGTTAAATTACCCTTAATAGCATTCATATACCCTTAATAGCATTAATTTTTTTAAATGCTCTATTGGTGGTTGACAGGGAGAAATGGAGGTCATGGAAAGAGGAGCTAGGGAGCAGCATTAGAGACATACCAGAAAGGTTTTTTGTTAAAGATTGTTTCTGTGGTTTGGGTATCTTGGCTTTGAGCTATAAAATGAGAATATTTGGAAAGCTCAAGATGAGTGCATATAAACTTTGAAGCTCTGTAAATTGTTTTGTGAATTACCACATCACAGCTACTGTGCTGTCATGATTAATCAGGAAATGATCCCTGATGCTTCTCAAGTGCTTCTGGGAAGTCTGGTACACTGTAACAGCTAACTGCTGCAGTGACTTTGCACTCCCATCACTTCAACAAATTAAAAGATTCAAAAATACAGCCCTTCAGCATCAATAAAATGAGAAGCAGCCCGGTGTAGCCGACAGAGAGCCAACCTTGGAGTCAAATCCTGTGTGAGACACCTCCCAGCTGTGTGCCTCTGGGGAAGTGACTTCACCTCTCAGTGCCCCCAACCAATTCACTGAAACTCTCAGTAATGGAGCACACGTGACCAGAGGGAGTTCTTCACGGTGAACTCTGCACACCAGAGAAATCATAGGTCTGGTCAAAACCAAAAATCAACAGCGATAAAAATAACTATTTTTTAAATATATCAAGCTTTATTTAAGATATATTAAGTTCAAATGCAGTGATAACAGAAAGACCTTGTTGTCTTCTCTGGTGCCTATGCTTTGGAGAATTATTTCGTCAAAGAGAAAATGCCCGGGGAAACGCCGAGGCTCACAATTCTTAAACTTGGTTGATTTGCTTCTCCAGGGTCCTCTTCGCATTGCTCAGCCACACTCACATTTTAAAAGTCATTCCCTCTATGCCTGGACAAATGAAGACTTGTAATTAGAAAAGCTGAGGCCTGCTTTTATTATAGGCTCTACATCAGTGGAGAAATAGGGTGAGGACAGTGTCATTCACAGGCATCCCAGCATGCAAATAATTGCAAGGACACAAATGATTCAACAGTAATAAAGCCGGGGCTCTCCGAGGAAATCATTCCAATCCTCCCTCATTCGCCATGTTTTTGAAACCAGGGACTGTGGAGCCGTTGGTAGGTACAGTGAGACCATGCCAAAATCCGTTTAGGAATATTTCCCGTTTCCCTGTGTCCATCCTTTCTCTGCAACAACAGAAAAGCAAAGTTAGAACTCTGTGACGGACAAAGAGGAAAGGAAAAAAAAATGGAAGAAATGGAGTGTCTTGCCCAAGGTCCCAGAGCTCATCCTTCCATACCTAGATGGTGCTTTCCCTTCTGGATTCCAGGGCCTTGCTCCAAATTGAAAGTGACAGGCCTTGTTAGGGGAATGTTCCTCTTGCCGGGTACAATCTGGAAAAGATGTGAAGGGATGCAGAGCACTCTCTTTGTTGGAAGTATCAGAATGTTTTCTATTGTTGTTTTCCTCACTGAGGACTTTTCCATTTCTTCTTGCCCCTCAACTTCAGGACAACATTTTTTAACGCATATAATGCCTTTGTTTGTATTTTATTTTGCCAAAGAGAGAGGATGAAGTTAAAATGCATAAAGGCATATATTTCTGAGCATGGCCAATGTGGGAATTCGTTTTGCAGCACTATACAAGTCTATGATGAGGGTTTTATTTTTCTTTGTGGTGTGCATTTAGGGGGAAGCAATGGGAGGGTGAAATAAAAAAGAAGAAAAAGAAAAAAAGAAAGAAAAAGAAATCTAGTGTGAAAGGCAATATAGAAAACTGGCCTGAGAATCAGGAAAATCTGAGTTTAAGCTATGTTACCCTGAGTAACACATTTAACACTTTAGTACTTTAGGAAGTTCCTAAAGGCATTAAGTTGAGGAAGTGGTTCTGATTTAGAAAAGATAGTTTCCTCACCTGGTGCTCTCTATACCAATGAAATGACAAGTCTGGACCACCACCCCCCCAAAAAAAATAGCAATATAAAGAGCTAATCCATCAGTGTATATATCATGGACACACACTGCTAAAAGACAACGAGTTGGTCTCAGAATTGAACAAGAGAAGGAGAGATGATTCCTTTAATAACCCCATATTTTTCCCAGAAACAAAGGTCTATAATTTTAATACCACTATTCTTCTGGTGGTACCATGTGTCTGTGAGTCATGGAGCACTAGAGTCTCCAGACAATTAAAAGTATGACTCAGCAGGCAGCAGAGAGGTACATGGCAAGTGGACATAGGCTGCAAGGAGCAAAAAAGAAGGACTTGAACAAAGGATGTCACACTAAGAAATGTGCCCTCTTTAGCTCTTCATCTACAATCCTCTGAAAGAGAAGATGGACCAGTGGCAAGAATAAGAGATAACGCATACATTGCTCGTAAGCTCCACTCATATCAGCCAGTAGAGCCCTTTACAACTGAAATTCTTGTGGCATTTTACATTGTTCAAATATTAAACAGTCTTTGTTTTCTCATATTTTCTTAATAACTGTTTTGTTTTTGCTTGCTTTATGAAGCAAGTTAAAGACAAGAATTGCATAAATTTTTAAGATTTATACAACAAATAAGAAAAGTGTCACAATATATGGACATACAGAAAATCCATTTCCTCTCCTTCAGCGAGAAATTGTTTTCATTTTTCTTCTTTATATTCAAAATAAGGCAAAAAGGAACAAGGGAATTCAAGCCAGTCTGTTCACAGATTCACTAGTACAGCATGTCCCAAAAGTCTTAGTGCCATTTTAAGCTTTAATAAAACTGCACTACATAAGCTGTCTTCTATAATATGCACTCGCTTGATTCAGATTTGTCCTTAAAATATTTTCCTGGGATTTTTCACATTCTCCAAAGATACATGAAATTTCCATCCCAAAAAGAAAAAAAAATTATTCAGCATAACTGACACCAGTCATGATTGCCCAAGCATTTGGTGGGTCACCTACTTCTGGGTCAGCATAATTCAATCAGTCTTTTCTACTGAGTGAATACTTCTATTACTAATACAAGCCCATCATAGTGTGTTCTGGTATCCCAAGAGCTGAATTTAGTCAAAGTGACCCCTTCCTTCCAACAAGTAGAACTTACCTTTTGTTATGAAAAGTGGATTATTCACTGAATTTCCAAAAACCAACCTTGCCTATATTCCTCCCTATTCTGTGCAAAAACAAGGTGACTTCAAGTGCCACCATCGTGACCGGATGATCCACCCAGAGAACAAATGCAAAAGGTTGGTAATCTGATTGAGACCATTCTAAATTGCTCCCCAAAGAGCTTCTGGGAGCAATTTGTAGTTTACGCCAATTTGCTTTTCTACACTTGGCAACAGATGGAAGAAACTCTTACTCTTCCTATTTAATCCACCACCATTGGTGGTTTGATAAAGGACTATTTCATCTTTGAAAGCTTTCATAGAAGGTCTTATTCAGGTGTTTGGGTTTTTTTAACATTCTTAATAATAGCAACATATTTTTATAGATTATATTAAGTTCTATCAGGTCAAAATCTCCTCACATGCTTTTCATGGAAAACAGAATAAGAGAAGGGCGAACATGATGCCACATGAATGTTTATAGGTTTAATGAATGTGTGTGTGACCGGTTTTATTGTACGTATGGTCTCCCAGGCTTTGCTGGAACTGTTTGTATGCATACTCAGAGAGGAACAGACCATGACCTGGCCAGTGGCAGTCAGCCAATAATATTGATTGGGTACCTACTCTTGGAAAAGAACTAAGAAAGACCAGACACAGAGACTTCTGTCCTCTAGAGGTTTACAACTTAATGGAAGAGCTAGGGCAAGTACATGTGAAAAAAGGCCAAAGAACACACAAAAGAGAATACATAAACATAGTCTACACATCTATATATAGATCTGTGAATTCAATGACTTAGGTACAGCAGTAATTAAGAATTCAGGCACCAAGGACAAATTCATTTAAAGGGAAGGAAGACTGTCTTCCAGAGAATAAATCTGGGTGCCCCCAGAGAGTTTAGGAGAAATAGAGGTGAGCCACAGCAGAAGCAGTCTAAGCACCAGTACAGTCCTAGAGGAAAAGGGGGCAACCTGTACCCTCTCTTTAATTCCCCAACTTCTCCTTCTAGACTCAGGAAAATTGGATTCAAGCTCTACCTCCACCACTATGGAACAAAGGACATGTCACATCCTCTCCCTGGGCCCCAGCTTCCCACCCTAAAAGATGAGAGGGTTTTGACTAAATGATCTCTAAGGTCCTTTCCAACTCAGAGATTCTGCAATTCTATGAAGTTGTCAGTAAGTGAGAACATACTGCTAAAGTGGAATCATTTGAAATACCTCTCTCAAAACAACATCTGTTTCCTCTATCAGCATACTCTCAGTTGAGTAGTAGTGAGTAAAAATCCACACATTTTAAGAACACACAAGTGATAGATAAAGAGGATGAGGGGCTAAGATGTAATCTTTCAAAATAGGAAATTCACCCTTGATTCCCATAGGACTATTGTGTGTATCTTCTGACAGGTGACCAAGCAGTTGAGAAAATGTCGATGTGTCCACTGTATTCACTTGGTTCCTTTCATAAGCAGCAGCTTCACAGTAGAAAGATCCCACTGGACCAGAGTCTGGGCATGAGTCCCAAGTTCCAATTCTGTCTTTGTAACTGCTTAACTGTGTGATCTTAGACAAGTCCCTTAACCTCTTCTGGTCTCTGTCTCCTCTTCTGCCAAATTAGGGTTGGGCTCAGTGACTACCAGGGTGCTTCCCCTCTCTAACATTCTATGATTTCTGTAACGTTATTTTTTTAGGATAAAAAATTCTAGCTTTAAAAGTCATACCACAATGATAGCCTTTGTTATTATAAGATACTGCACACACTTCTCAAGCCTTCTAAAAGATCAGCTGATAATAAATCAACAGGTAAGAGGCTATGGAGGACAGAACAGATAGAGAATATATTCTCTTCCTCCAAACAGGTCACAGTCTATCTGGGGAAATAAGGTACTAGGATGTGAAAGGATAATATTACCAGGTAATACGTGTTAAGTCCTGGATCAAGTCAGAATGGTGGCAATGCCTAGTGTGGGATGTCAAAAGAGGGAGGGATCATTTCCAGCTGGGGAAAGGAAGATGTCACAAAAAGTAAGAGGCCTGAGGTAGACTTTGAAGGATGTTGGGATTTGATTGGGTGATGTGGAGAGAGGAGAGGTCATTCCAGATATGAGCAAAGGTACAGAAATGGGAAACTGCAAGGCGTGTTTGAAGGAATATTACATGTGCTAGAACTCATCAGTAAATATTAAGCTCCTACTAGGCAAGCAACTTGACATAGAGCACTGTTTCTGGAGTCTGAGGACCTCAGTTCAAATTCTTCCTCTGCTACTTATTGCCTTGTGACCTTGGGCAAGTAACTTCACTTCCCTAAACCTCACTTTCCCTATTTGTAAAACGGGGTTAGAGCAGACAGCCTCCGATTTCCATCTGTGATCCTATGACACATGTACCAGTAACTGGTAAATCCTGAGAATACTAAGACAAAAACAAACCAGGAACCTCTATTTGTTTCCCTAGGAAAAATAACATGTACATGAATCAGGATATAAAAAAAATTAAAATCATGATAATTAGGCAGTCTAGGCACTAGGTAGTAGAAGACAATACCTCTAGTATGATGCAGGAAGGGCACGGGATTAAACGGTTCTTATTGCCAGGATGTTTGGACCCTCCTACAGGGAATGCGAAGCCAATGGAAGGCCAGACTGCGTCTCAAAAAGTTAGAAGTTTAATTTCCTAAAGAGGAAATAAAATTAACATCTAACCTTAACAAATTGATTAATAATTTAAGAGACATGTCACTATATAGTATGGGGAAAAATTTTAAGGAAAAAATTTTTTTCTCTAAAATCTTCATTGGCACTAGAAAATTGGTATTTAGGAGTCTCAATGTTCTTCCAGACCATTTAAGAGCAAATGCTCTCATATGTTGCCTTTTGTGCTAAGATGGTGTCCGTACCAAAAACGGGAAACAACTCATGTACAAATATTATCTGAAGCCAAATTTACTGAGGTGAGATTTTACAGTATAGTCAGCTATTCCCTTCTCAAATTGGTGGAAGCATGTCTACCAGACACTGGGCATTCTGGGTCTCTTCCTCAAGCCTGGGGTCTCTAGATTTGGGTCAGGACTGATCTCCACCAATGTTAAGTTCTAATACCTAGAACACAAGTCCCCATAGTTCACAGCAGCCTAATGATGGGGCTCTGGTCTTTCCTCATACACAGGAAGGAGCACAAATATTGGGGACAGCCAGTGCAAAGATACACAGGTAGAAAATAGACTGCCTTATATGAGAAAGAGGAAGAAGACAGTTTTCTTCACGGTTTAGCTCAAGGACTATTTTCTACATAAAGACTTTCTTGATTCCCTACCTACTGTCTTCCTACTCCCCCAAAAATATGTCATCTTGTATATATTTTGTATAAATTTCATATATACTTATATAGGTATATGTCTCCCTTTCTGAAAGCTCCTTGAAGTCAGGGACTATTTTACTTTACTGTTTGTATCCCATATCTAACACAGTGTCTGGTATACATTAGGTGCTTAATAAATGCTTGTTGATTGATTGGTAACTTGATAACTAATTATACAAGATTTTAATCCTTCACTTATCATCATGTCTGCAGTCAGGAGGTAGAAGGAATGAATGAATGAATGAATGAATGAATGAATGAATGAATGAATGAATGAATATTTATTAGACACTATGTGGATATAAGAGGTTTTAACTGTAAATTAGTTGGAAAGGTTTCGTGGAGTTAGGGTACAAAGGCAAAGCAGATAATAATACTGACCAATATCCCCAGAGTCATTTTCATTGATAAAAACTGTCTCCATCTTTGTTGTTGAACTGTTAAACAGTTCTCAAGGACTTCAGGGGCGAGAAGATTCTTTCCTGGTCTTCAGTAGCTATAGCTACCACCTGCAGAGGCAGTGGTCTGGTTGCATTTCCACAAGGATTGCTTCCCCCGGATGACGGCTGCAGGATATGGGCTGGAAGTAGGGCTGGTGGTCTGGGAGTACGCTACCAACCTGGGGTACTTGGACTTGGTGCCCGTTGTTAGCAGCTGGTCAGTGACCTGTGGTAGTAGGGATGGTGAAGCCCCTTCTCTTCAAGGATTACACTGTATAACTATGTTCTCTGAGGATCAGTCTAGAAAGAGGAAGAGTGAGTGGGTGGGATGAGCAATATTATTCCCACAACTCTTGAGTTTATAGTCCTAGGCTGTCTCCACATGGATCTGAGGAAAAGTAAGAGTCAAGGTAGGAGCAATAGTTTGACCTGCCTGGCCTTTTCTTTTCAATGCAGAATTTTCATTTATACACATTATGATTGCTCATGCACATTTAGTCAATTAAAAATCAAACTCCAGTGTAAACTACTGCATATATACATTGAAACAAAAAAGTTCAGGGTCTAGAAAAAACGCTTGAGGATTTCTTTACCATAAGGAAATAATTAAAAATGTGAAACTATTTTTGCCCACTGACCACAAATTGCCACGTCAGCATTTTGTATTACTGACTTTTTTCTTAACTTTTTAAAACACAACTGTAGCTGAATATTACAGCAGAAACAATAACTAGCAGTAAGTATGCTAAGATTATTATAGTCCTTTTTTCCCTCTCTATGGCATAGAAAAGCCATCATTATAATGAGTCTTCACTGACCCCTATTAAGAGGTTGACACTAGGCACTCCCTCTAGGATGATGCTTATTTTCCACATAAGCTTCACTGTTGTAATTGTGTTTTCTTTCTTGAATTGGGTCAAATTCCACCTGTTCTACCTGCTACCTTTCTTCCTTTTCCTCTGCTTCCTTTCTGTCCCCCATCTCTCTGGGCACTTTGATACTCTAGCCTGACTGACTTTCCTGACCTGTTGGTGACAGTTGGTCATCAGTTGGTGGTAACAGGGATGGAAGTCAACTCCTCCACAAGCATTACTCCCCTGGATAATGGCTGCAAGGGTCAGGATGGAAATAGGGCTGGTGGTTGAGGGGGCACAGCTATTGCTTGGGTTCTTACATGTATCTACACTTTTAGCAGTTGGCCAGCAGTTGATGGTGGTTTTGTCAAGGATAGCAAGCATTTCTCCATAAGGATTGTTCTTTTCAGTAATAATGCAGGGACCAGGCTGGAAATAGAGAAGTTAAAAAGACTTTTTTTTTTTGGTGAGGCAATCAGTGTTAAGTGACTTTCCCAGGGTCACACAACTAGTAAGTGTCAAATGTCCAAGGTCGGATTTGAACTCAGGTCCTCCTGACTCCAGAACCGGTGCTGTATCTTCTGTGCCACCTAGCTGCCCCAAGACTTTTTTAAAAGCTAAATTACTGTTTGTTAGATAACATCTGAAGTAATGTGTCCAGTATTAAATGCCACTTCAAAAAAAAATTGACAAATTGGAGAGCATTGAGAAGAAGGCAGCCAATACAGGGAGTGATCCTGAAACCAAGTAATCTGAGGAATGGTTAAGGAAATTACTGTTTAGCTGGGTGAAGAGGCTGAAACATGGATAGTGCAAAGCATGATGTACTTGGAATCTCCAGATTCCTCTGTTTACTAGCTGTATGACTTTGACCATCCCACTGTACCTCTCAGGGTCTCATTTTCCTCATCTTCACAGATGAGGAGGTTAGATTAGATGTTCAATCATCTCTTCTATTCTAAAAGCCTAAGAATTTTAGAGGACGTGATGGATGCATGCAAATATTAGAAAAGTACTGTGGAAAAGTGACTGGATATGTTTTAGGTTATTTTGGAGACAAGCCTATAGTCAATCAGTCAATAAACATTTATCTAGTTCCTACTGAGTGCTAATCACTGTGTTAAGTGCCAGAAATACAAAAAGAGGCAAAAAGCAGTTCCTAACCTCAAGGTTACAGAGTTGCAGAGAGACTGGAAGGGTCAATATAAAGAACTTGCTTCCAATGAGAACTGATCAAATATGACACCACCACCCCCCCAAAAAAAAGTGTATTACTCACATACTGCAAGACTCCACGCTACATGCCTAGGATACAAAGATAAGAAAAACCATCTTTACCTTGAAGGAGATTACAACATAAAGAGGATAGGGGAAGGACAGAGACAAATACATGCACAGGAAAATGTTGATACAAAAGCTTCTAGGACAAAGGAAGAGATACTGACCAAGCGCTCCATGATGGAGTGAATATCTTCATCAGCAATGGCCCCTTAGCTAAACCTTGAAGGAAGACAAGACTTTTGGGGGTGGTCCTTTCCAGGCCTGAGGGACTGCACACACGCAGAGGTAGGATAGAGGTTGGAACATAAATCATGTAAATGGAAATAATGTGAAGGAAGCCTAGAAAGGTAGGTTGGAGCTAAATTTTGGAAGGCCTTAATTGTCAGACTAAGGAGTTTGTATTATTTCTTTTTGGAAATAGTCATTGGAAAATTCCATTCCAACAATGGCATCAATATTGGACTAGGTGAATTTGCAAGAGAGTGACTTAAGACTGTGAAACTTGAATTTGACCACATAGAAAGTATAGGTTTTAAATTACCAGAGTCAAAAAAATGGCAAAAAAACTATGGAGGACTCAGGGGAGCAAGCTGAGCAAAAGTACAGGAGTGAGAATGACTGTGGTACAGTTTAGAAATGAGAGAAGCTATTCCTATACCTGGATCATAGGTATCATGTTGGTTGGTTGCGATCCTTCACTCTCAAAGAGGACCAAAATGGCATCATGATGTTGAGGTCAAGGTACAGTGTGTCTGTCCATCTGTGGCTGACCAAACCAACATGAGCTTGGAAGGCTCTACTACAGGTTGGGCACAAATAGCCATGTGAATATTTGGAGTGGAGATGTCTCCAAAGTCGTGCGTCTCATGTTTCTTTTGAGCTACTGCATTCTGCTTTGCACACAGAGCACTGTGTCTTCTTTGATGCAAGTACACCATGGTCATGTTGGCAAGTAGGAAAGGGAAGATTAGAAAGAAAGGCTGAGACCAGTTGTACAAAGAAATCTGTGTCACAAAGTACTTGGTGCTAATTATGAAACTGTTTGGCAGATTTTTCTTCCCAGGTTATATTTAAACTTGAATTTCTCTTTTTTTTTTTCTTTTTCCAGCCAGTGCTGACTTTCCATACAATGCAGGACAAGCTATAAGAGATGGAGTTAACAGAAATTCGGCAATTATTGGAGGTAGGTATAACATGTTAGACCATCTCATACACCACCTTCTCAATAATTAGAGAAGCAGAATAGGATAGCAGATATGACGCTTCACTTGGAGTCAGGAAGACTTGCATCTAAATCCCAATTCTGACACTTTCTAGCTGTGTGACTATAGGCAAGTCTCTTAACCTTTCTGAGCTTTGGACAGTCCTCTAAAACCAATCTAACTGAATTCAGTCAACCAATTCTCAACATAAGTAATACTTTTCACTGGTTGACCAATATAGAATGACGGTTTCATTCCTTTTTGATCTGTATAAGGGGTGAGAAATAGATTAAAAATTTTGAGCTAACCCTAGAATAGTATGGAATGTATACACAGATGAGGAGAAAAACATGAACAGTAGCATGTACAGACCTATTCTGGCTCTTCAGGAGTGACTTTTCTTTAGGTAGCACACAATGAAAAGGAGGAGAAACATATACATTACAAGTGTTATTGCAATGGAAAATTTTACAACTTTCAAATATGCTGGTTTAATAGGTGACATCCAGAAGTTTCAAATAAGCCAGTCCTAAAACAATTATTTTCTGCCTTTGATTTGCAAGTCAGTTTGATTCTCTTGTGAATCAGGTTCCCACATACAATTACTTGCTGTCAGGCCGCTCTCATTCTCCAGTCCCACAAAACCAAGTTTTCCTCCATTTCAGTTCATCAGTTTTCCCAGTGTATCTAAAAGGAAGTCACATACAGATTAAGGATGACCTTATGAAGTCATTTAATTGCCTTGTATTGAGGCAGTTAGGTGGTACAGTGGATAGACCACTGAGCTTAGAGTCAAGAAGCCCTGAGTCCCAATTTGGTCTCAGATCCTTATTAGCTGTGTGACCTGGACAAGTCACTTAACCTGTATCTGACTCAGTTTCCCTATTTGTAAAATGGGCATAATAAATAGCAGTTACATACTGAGATTGTGGTGAGGATTAAACAAAACATGACTCATACAGCACTTGGCAAACCTTAAAGGGCTACATAAATCCAAGCTATTATTATTATTATGATACCACTAGGAATAACTCTCCCCTAGACCCTTCCTTTAAAGATTATTCCATTCTCTGTGGATATTTAGCTGGATCAAGGTTATCACCCTGGTCTTTAGCCAATTAACTTCTGCATTATCAGCAATTTTTTCCTAATTAAGAGGTAGAAACTCTGTGAGAAATTTATATGAAAACATGATTGAGACTATGATCTTTTATGGGTAATGTTTCAGCCATATCAAATAATGTTGCCTATGGCTCTCTTCGCACAAAATAAAATCCAACTAGAAGGCAAGACATATAGGAGAAAGAGTACTGAATTGGGAGTCTGGGTCAAATCTCAGGTCTGCTTCTTACTGCCTGTGTAACCATGAGCCAGTCACTTCTTGTCTCTAGGCCTCAGTTGGGTTTTTGTTTGTTTGTTTGGCTTTGTTTTTTATAATGTGAGGAGGTCAGACTCTATGACCTCTAAGATTCTTTCTAGCTCAACAATTGTTTTTCTTTTCTTTTTTGAGGTTGAGTGGGGAGGAATTGCAATAGGGAAGATGGATGGGCCAGAGGTAGTAGACAATGTTTGGATTTATGTAACCTCTGATACCACTCCTCTTTCCAACAGGGGTCATTGCTGTGGTGATCTTCACCATCCTCTGCACCTTAGTGTTCCTCATTCGCTACATGTTCCGTCACAAGGGCACCTACCACACCAATGAAGCCAAGGGAGCAGAGTCTGCTGAGAGTGCCGATGCCGCCATCATGAACCATGACCCAAACTTCACGGAGACCATTGATGAGAGCAAAAAAGAGTGGCTTATCTGAAGGAGAGAGCTAGGGCTTGGCAATGGGGCGGGGGGAGGGGAGAGGGAAGGAAAGTGGGGATACGCAGGGAAGAGGGCACAAGGGGGACCTCAAAGGAGGGGGAAAGCACTCTGCTTCGGACTCTTGAGCACATCTTTAAAAGATCAGCACAACGCGGGGAAGCAAGACACAAAATCCTTGGGACTGGAAAACAAAAAGATGTTTAAAAATGAGAACTTTTTAATATTCATTCACAGATCTGTCTCTCCTTCTGTATCCAAACAAAACAATGAGAAGAAAATGCTTTTAGAGTTTCCACATTGGTTAAAACCTGTCAGTAATACCTGTCTTTTTCGTGTGTGTGTTTAGAGGTGTTCTAAATACCCGTGGCAACAGGGCCCGTTTTCTACATTTTGAGGAGCCCTTAGAATTTGAATATTTCTGTGTTGAGAACAACTGACAAATATACATATATGGCCTCCAATAATTCTTTTTTTTTCATATATAGTCAATTCTTAATGGATTATTGTTGTATCTAGAGTTTGTTTACATCACATTTCATTTGGCGTCTTGTAAATTGGGAGTTGTGGGGAAAAGAAAGGGGCATAGTGAAACAACTCACTTTTTGCCAGTGTCCACAGGGCCATTGACCTGTGCCCAGACTTTGAGGGCTGTCATGTGACACAGGCTATTGAAGGACAAGACTGCACAATACTTAGCAGTGATGTAAAACCACGTCATCATTGTTACCACTGTTTGGGGGGGGAGGGGAGTATTCTGAACTATGAAGTTATTTTGATTTTTTCATTAAGCTCTGAGAAATAATGTTGTTCCAAGTACATAGTCTTAGCTCTATTCTGTTTCTTTCTCTTTGGCTATGAAGTCACTTATGAATTTATCCTCCACTCTTCCTGTGATACATTGGCATATTCTGTATGTAGGCATAAGCATCAGAGTAGGGAATTAGAGCCAGATGCTGTGGTTTGTTTGCTTCTATTTCTTTTATAGACGGTAGTAAAAGTAGCAATCCTGTCATGTTGCATAGTGAATGCATAGAGTAGGTCATTATCCTTAATAGGCCCTTCCTCTTTTGAAGACTCCAGTCTCTCTCTCTTTGCAACAAACACGTGCCCAGATGGGTATGCCCTTCCAATACTCATCCTAGTAGATCCTGGTTCCTCTTCGCTATGAGGGTGAGCCAATCATTGAAGTGAATTTGAGCACATCTTAAAAATTCTTTGTTTCAGAAGTATGAACAAATACATCGTCAACTCTGTCTTGAAGAAAAGGCGAGCACCATGTTTCATGGTAAGGAAGATGTGGTGAGTGTGTTTGGAGTCAAAACAATGTCTATGAAAATTCACTTCAGTTATTGACTCTCTTCCATACATAAGAATCATTTGGAAAACACCATCTCCTTTTTAAAGTCGTCCAAGTAATCTTCTGGCCAAAGCAAACACACTGCCCAGTAGGTAATTCAGGAATTATGCAGGCTCCGATACGATTGAACCTAGCATTTGTCACAAACATAATAGCTGGGAGTTCCCATTCATGGACTCAGTGGATAATTATTTGGAATGAGGCATGAAAGCTAGCTGATGATAAGAAGAGCTGTGATTGGCTAGAACTAATTACCTTCTGCCTAATAAAATTAACCGTTCACCAAAGTTGTATGGCAAACTATAATTACACATTTTGACTAAGACATTTACCATGCAACCAAAAAACAAAAAGTCATTTATTTGCGAAGGGTGGCATAGAACTTATTTCCAGAACTACATCCAAACATCTAGGATCATTCTGATATAGCCCACCCCCACACAGGCTCTGCTAATGACATACACTTCAAATGTGAATCACTTAACTAAACCTGTTAAGTGTTTCGCTCTCCTTCCTAAAAGGGGATGTAAAAAGGTAGAGAAGTACAGATACTGCTGTTCTGCTGGATGCTACTACAAAAAATGCATATTGAAATGTATTTGGAAATGGTCACATGACAACTTTTTCAGAATACTGGAGTATTCATGAATCCTAAGGTGATTATGACCACATCTTGGGTAGTAGGATTCATTTTATCCAGAGATGATAATCTAAGTTGAAAGATAGCACATTACAAGAATATAGGTACTATGTAGTAAATGTTCCATTTCGAGTGATTAAGTATTAGAATGTAACCACTTAGAGTTGATGTGGATTATGAATTTGAAGAAACATTGAATGGAGAGATTTTTTTAAAGGAATATTATTTTTATTTTAAGTTGCTTCCCTAAGGTACATCAAGTCTGTCAACTAGGATTTTGCATTGTTCACGTAAGAATCATATAAGTACAATTCAACAAGGATGATTATTTTTCAGTACTCTGTCAAAAGAATCCAGTAGTTAGATTCACCAGTGTACTCTTTAGAAAGATATCTGCCTACCATTCTGGGCTGTATCACTTGGTCCCTTTAAATCATGAAAACCACATTTTAAAAATAGTCTTAAATTTTAGAAGTATTTTAGAATTTGACTTTTTTTAAGGTATTATTTTGCTGATGACAAATAGTGTCAGATAATATGCCCCATGTGAAAAATATTTCCAGCATCTCCTTAGTTAGCTATATTCATCACACACCTTTCACCTAATTCTCTGCCTCTTTAGGTTTCTCTCCAAGAAGATTTGGCTGTAAAAAGGCCCAAACCAGTATCAAATACCAAAATAATTTTCTCATTTCCCTGACCTCTGCATATCTCCTTTTGATATCAGCAGGGAGAAAAGAAAATTCCACCAATATCTCCAGATATTTTGACCCTGGGGAAATTGTCATGAATCTTAAGTGAACAGGGAAGTTGAATTCATCTTCATCAGCATCATCAGTTCACATTTATTAAGTAACTGTTTTGCAGAGGAGATATAAAGACAGCCAAAACCCAATTCTCATAGTTGAGGAATTTGTAACCTAGTTGGGGACCTAGGGCATACCCGTAAGAAGCTAAGCAACCACCCAAAGTTAACATGGTAGGTAAGTGCCAAATGAATGGTTAAAAAAAATCCTTGGTTTCTCAAGGTTGTGGAGTTGAGAACTCCCAACCGTTTTTTTTTTAAAGATTATTGTCAATGAATTTCCCATTAACAATGTGTTGATTTGGGGGGAAAGGAGGATGGAGCTCCCTATTGCCCATGCACCCTTCAAAAAACAGGATCCAATTCTAGTATCCAACCTCACCTTACCACTTTATAACCCACAAAACTTACTGATGTATGAAAGGTCCCCGCTGACAAAATTGAATGGGTTTTTTTTTAATCATTTTGCCTAAGAATACCATGGCAGATAACAGAGGCTATTTAAAGATTTTTTAAATGGGGGCTAATCATGGGAGTGGGAGAGAAAGGTTCATGATATATAACCCGAGAATCTAAGTTTTTAATAGCTTTGTTTGGTTTATGCATGTAAATCAGTGCCATTCTAAGGCTATACCTATATATAGCACATTCCCTTAAGCCAGAAGTGATTCAGGTCAACAAGTTGGAACAGATTTATTACTCTCCGGTTGAAACTCATGATAATATTTAATTCAACGTTTAAGTGTCTCATTAAGTACAAAGCAACCATGAAGGAACTTCACTTAAAACCTTCATCTGTTACTTCCTCCAGTCATGTAAGTAACCCTGGGCTCTTGAAGGCTGGGCCAGCTAAGTTCAAATTCTGTCAGGTTCAACCAAGCTTGAAAGGCTCAGACCACAGACCTGATGAAGATTCTTCTGATGGCTGGTCTAGTTAAATAAAGTGTGATTCATCACCAGAAGGGTGGACCAGACTGTGAGGAGTTTTGCTCCCACCACAGCAGCTCGTGAACACCTCTACAAAGGAAAGGCTGCAGTCTGCATTAGGAGATAGCTTAATGACGAAATTACAGACTTTTTGAAGTATGTACAAAGGGAAGCAGAAAGATGTTATGGAAAGAGTATTAAGAGGCTAAGGATCCGAGTTCAAATACTGCCCAGGCTTACTTTCAAGCAGATCACTCAATCTCCTTGGGCCTCAATTGCTTCCTCTCTAAAATGAGGTTGGACTAGATAACCTCTAAGTTCTCTTCTAGCTCTTGATCTGTAATCCTCCTGTGCTGATGGGAATACAATTTTTTATTGTTGCCCTGCATGTCTTCAAGTTAGCCCATGAATTACTCAAAAGAAAAGAAAGTCACTTAGAAAGCAGAGGCTTACTCTGTGGGAAAACTTGCCCAGGATTGTCCTCCCACTAACACTGAAGGGCTGCAATCAGCACCTTCATCATCACCACCACCATCACCACCATCATCATCAGCATGCTTATCCTTTGCTGGGATCTCATCCCCAAGCATATGATGAACAACACCCAACAGGAAGAGGCACTACCGTTCAGGCATTAACCAAACAGCCCTTGGGAGTTAACTTCTATTGAGCACCAACTGTCTGCACCCAGAATGCCTAATGGGGCCCATATATGGTCCTTGCTGTAGCTAATCTAGGTCACTAAATGAGGCAAAATAATATCAGAAGGGGCAGGCAAAGTAACTCAGGAAAGACAACAGAGTGCCAAAATCCAAACTTTCAGTAGATCACCAAAACGAAGGAATATGCTTCATTTCCTTTGCCTCATCTGTTCCATTCTCTCATCCCACCATTTTGTTCTTCCTCTTTCCAAAATTAGAAACCACTCTTAACATGCCTATGTCCAAATGGACAAGTTAAGCCCTATTATCCCCACAAAAGATTTGGATTCTAATTGGAACCTTTTTTTAGGTTGTCCCACCCCTTCTTCAGAGACATAGCATTTTCCCAAATGAATGCAATAATCTGGAAATTTAATTGGGTGTTTTTGGTTAGTAGATTGCAAGTATACTAGCAACCAGGAAGTTTGTACCAGATAAAAGCAAACCGTCCAACAGGAACTCAAGTGGCCCCTCATCCTAACTCTTAAAAACCTTTCCATGAAATGTGGAACAAAGCAGAAGGATATATTCCACTGGCTTGGGATACCAATATCACTTAAATATCATTTTCAGTATTGAAGGCAGCTTTCACACTACCTTCGTCTGGCCCAGCCAAAGGAAGACTGAGAGAATCCAAATACCAGCTTCTTCTCTTGTCACCAATGTGCTGTATGACCTTGGCCAAGTCTCCATTCCCATTTTTGTTTTGTTTTTTAGCTAGAGCAGATTTTTACCTACCTCCCAAGGGAATTGTGAGGTGTCCTTGCATTTTGACTACAAGGCTTTTACAAATTTCTAGTTAGAGTGCAGGATAGGCCAAGTGGGAGGCAGCCTCCTCCTTCTCTGGTGATAGGTCAAATGGCAACTGATGGGACATGGCTAAGCATCTGCTGAATATTGACTCCAATAAAGAGCACCTGGGCAAAGCTGAGACCGTGCCAAGATGTCCTCCACATGAGAGCCAAGGAATCTTCTATGAGGTGAATAAGGCCCTTAACTGAAAACCCAGGCTAGGACTGCTGCTGCTTATCTTCCCCACTCGTGCCAGGGTCCCTCACTTTATATTTGGCTGTCCTGACATACAACTTTCAGAAGAATCTATATGAAATAATGCAACATTTTAGCTTAGCCTGGAGCCTCTCTGACATGCAGGGTTATTTCCAACCATGCTTGGTATATTGCTTTCACAGCCACAGCTATCTAAGCCGTATGGAATTTCAAAACTTTTTAACCAACCAAGCCTGAAGAAAGGGTGCTGACCATTACTCTTACTTGTCACAGACTGCCAAAGAATGTGGTATTTCCAGTTTGACACTTAGGTAAAAGTTCCCCTTAGAAGCGAATCCACTCAGCTCATCTACATCTCAAAACTGACAAAATCTCAGTTAACCAATAGATTACCCAGAATCTAGCTCTGAGAAAACAGAGATCTCTTTTCTCAGTTCTACCAAGGTTTCAGCTCAAAGTATCATCATTCCCAAGTTCCATTTGATTAGGAAGATTTTTTTCATTTTATTATTTTGTAATGAGCATGGTGACAGCAGGGGTTACAGTTTTGGAAAGCTGAGAAATTCTAGTTCTGAAAAAAAAGGCAGGCAATTGAGGGGTTCCATCCTAGTGAAATAGCACACAATTGCACCCTCTAAAAGCAACAGCATGTAAACTAGAAGGAAAGAAGGACATTATGTATGTTATATTATGCCTGATATTCTTTGTGAATGTCTTTCATTTTAACTAAGATTCTAATAGAAACCAGATTGATAAATAAAAAATTCAAAATAGTTTTAATTATCCTAAGAGCTGTCTCTTTGTGTTTTGTACCATCTCATAGGGAGGGAGGGTGACAAGGCTGGGGAAACCATTCTCTTTCAGCAAAAGGATATCAATGTACAAATCGCTGAGGTCACCACCTAATGAGAAAGTTCTCCTTTGAAAAGAAACAGAGATTCATCTTCGCACCAAAGGTTACATCAAAAGGTACAAAATTCAGGGCAGCTAGGTGGCAGTGGATAGAGCACCAGCCCTGAAGTCAGGAGGACCTGAGTTCAAATGCGGCCTCAGACCAAAGACTTGACACTTACTAATTGTGTGACCCTGGGCAAGTCACTTAACCCCAACTGCCTAAAAAAAACAAAAAGGTGGGAAATTCATGCTTCATTTGGAGCTATCAATTGTTATCCTTCTTCCCTCTTGGCTATTTTAAACTCTTTGGGTAATTTTTTTCTCACATTCTTTATGTACTTTAAAGGCAATTGGGTTTCTAAATTTAATTCTTCTATACTCTGCTTATTAAAAAATGCCAGTTACACAGAATTGGGTAATGTCCATAGAAACCCCTGGTCTTTATTTAAAGTGTGGAAGAGGGCATTTTGCAATAGACACATAGAATCTAGAAAACTAGCTTCATTCCAAAATCTTTTTATAGCCTTATATTGCTAGTGGTTTCTTTTTAATCAACTCTAGATATTTTTTGAATATGCAGAATAAATGAAATTTCTGAACCATATTTGTCTGCCCCAATTAAGTCCTCCAGAGCCATACTATATTGGGATTTATACCTTTATAAACATGATTCCCTAAGGGGTAATATCTCTCATTAAAAAGAAACTAGAACTATGACAAGTTCATTAAGAAGACAACAGAATTAAGTAAGGGGAAGAGAGAAGCACCTATACATCATACAGAACCTATTGGATATGAACCCAGACTTGGGCTGTAGTCCCCAGTCTGCATCTTACTAGCTGTACAACCTTGGGCAAGTGACAACAGCATTTCTGGGTTTCAGTTTTTCTTTACCTAGAAAAGGAGGGGCCAGGTCGCCATGATCTCTAAGAATCTTTTCTTGTATAAGTATCTAACAAGGTTTACTATATTTAATACCTACTCATGTCAGAGTAGCTCATTACTCTTTCTAGCCCTGCCACCAAATAACCAGGTGACACAGAAGGGGGGGCATATTTCTTGTCTCAATCTGTCATTTTGCTCATCTGTAAAACTGACATGATAGCTTATGTACTGGAGGGCAAAGGAGCCAGGAATTTAAGCTTCGTTGTGCTTAGGAACTGGTGCTGAAATAAGTCCCTTCAAGACTGCTAATCTTAAAAGGGACAGGGACGGGGGAGGTTAATGCAGACTATCCATCGGTATACATATCTGCCTTTTGCTGAGCAAACAGAAGTCAGCCAGCTGAGCCACAACCGCTGGGATGCCTCTGGGCTAAATTATCCCTGAGCAGGAAGGTCTCTCTGCAAGTGAATCCCTCTAAGAATTTACCTGCACTATTCAGGCAGTTTTGCTCCAAAGGAGAAAAGCAGTCATAAGTTTCATGGTGAATGCAGTTTTCTTCTCTTATTCCCCATTTTCTTTCTAAATTTTCCCAAGTCCAAGCTAGAGAAAGTCTCCTGTTGCTTTGCCCTGTAACCTGTTGGCACCCAGGGAATGACTGTACAGTCATGCATCCCAAATCATCACCAATCATTAAAAGTCATGTATCCTAAAAAGAGTCAATCACTGAAATTCACGATGTCTGACGAAATTCCAGTTCCTTGAGGGATGGCTTGGAAGAAAGTACATCTTTTTGGAGAATTGGTAGGCTCTGGTTGCCTTTGGAAGAACCAGATTCTAGGGAATAGGAGCTAAATGGGGCTAAAAACAAAACTAGAGAAAGGCAATTGTTTCTATGACTCTGAGGATACTCAACTTGAAAGACAGGCAGCTGTGGGCCCAGGTGAAGAGAACCTCTCACTGCCCCAGCAGGAGGAAGGAGGGGAAAAGATATGAAAGGATTGTGTGGGAACTCAGTGAAAGTGGAGGATTTCCTCAGTCCAAGAGCAGGTGGAAGGTGGAGCACTTTGACATTAAGCTTGGAACTTCAGATGGTGAACCCCTAGAGGGCTCAGGTTATCCTTTCTAGCGAACTTGTGAGTTGCTGTGCCAACTATTTATTATTCTTATGAAAACAGAGTAGGAGGCAGCCTGCTATAGTCTGAAGACAGCCAACCTTGGAGTCAGGAAGATGTAGGTTCAAGTCTTGTCATTGGCATGTTATATGTGGCCAAAGGCAAGTCACAATCTCTGAGTACCCCAGGTAACTCTCTGAGCCTGTAATTATAGACAAGTTGGTGATTTGAATTCTTGAGTGGTTCCCTACAGTAATGAAATTATAAGTGGATAGATATATAGATTGATAGATAGATAGATGTATGTATGGAGGGAGAGAGAGAGAGAGAGAGAGAAAGAGAGAGAGAGAGAGAGAAAGAGAGAGAGAGAGAGAGAGAGAGAGAGAACAAATATTAAACTTATTCAGCAAACCTGCTATGCTAGAATTAAGAGCAACTCTTTAAATTGGAAAAGACAAAATTAGGACAAATTAGAGGAAAATAATGCTTTATTATAGCAGGCAATAAACAACTTTTTTTACTATGAGAAAAGATGATACAAGTTGAAAACACTCATAGCTTCAACAATGTTTAGATGATCAGTCCATAATGGATCATTTAGGTAAATGAAGATATTTAGGGTTACATTCTAAGTTTTAAAGGTTGGCACCAGGTAGGTTAATCAGTCCAACAGGTCTTTTGGTGTCTGGGTCACAGATGGAATCCCAGTCTTAAAAAATTTCTGTTAGAACATAAGGTGCAGGGGCAGTTAGGTGGTGAAGTAGATAGAGCTCTGGCCTTGGAGTCAGGAGGACCTGAGTTCAAATCCAACCTCAGACACCTGACACTTACTAGCTGTGTGACCCTGGGCAAGTCACTTAACCCCAATTGCCTCACTTAAAAAGCAAAAAATATATGTAGATATAGCTATAGATATATATGTGGACCACACTACAGCTTAGTATATTTCCTAGTTCAAATAGCTTATCCATGATTGGTGCTCAGATAAATGAATAAATGGCCAAAAAGAAAGTTTTGGATTTTGGACTTTTGATGGATTAAGGAGGGAAACATCACGGTCCAATCTCTCTGGTTGTACAAAATATACTCTGAAGTTCAACCTGCATCAGAAATTTTAAAGTGAATAACATTCGTGTTAAAAGGGAAACAAATCTAATACCTGAGGACTCAACTATATAATAATGAAAATGCAACAAAAGAAAGAAGAAAATGAAATGTAATAAGGAAGAAAAAAACAGACTAAGGCAATGTGAAAGAAGAATTTAGCCACAGAAGAATTCCTTTCACCTGAGGGTCGCTTTCTTGGTGTTTTTCATTAAAAGAACAGTCTGATTCTCTCTTTGTCATTCCCCAGATCATAATCCAGTCTGACATCCTTCAGGGATATGAAAGAGAGAAAATTCATTGTGGCTCCTGAATGGAAGGTAAGGCAAATTCTCCTAGCACAGGGAAGATGTACTGATGGCCGAGCCTGCCTTCTGACTCATTGGTGAGTGAATTGTGTATTAAATGTGAAACAATTACTTCACACTTTTACTACCTAGCATCAGACTAGTCCAACATCTTTGCTGGTGGGATCATGTAACAGAAGCTGTGTGTTCGGGCAAGCATCAAATGTGATTTACTTCCTTGTAAATGAAGCATCACTGGCTTCAGCCCTGGTCATTTGGGCCTCTGCTGGGTGCATCAGTAAAAAGAGAAAAAAGCAACTAGATTAAAGAACAGAACTTGATTGGAAGCATACTTTGGACTTTGTCAAAAATACAGTGAGCGCTTATAATATATTACTGAGGAATCAATTTACAGTTGCTTTAAATTACATTTATAGAGCGAATTTTGCCCTTCTCCCAAATGGCAACAGTGACATTACCATTAAGTCAGTAGGAACACAGGAGAAATATTGACTGGGGATCACTTACTGCCAGACCTGTCATTACTGACTCCAGCGCTGCCCTGATGGAATGAGCTACTAGGCTTAATGAAGATCTTGTTAGGCAGGGTAAGGCCCACCTCCATGACTTCTAGGAAAGAGAAACAAATTAGCTAAATGCATGAAAACCTAAAAATACCCCGGGGCTGATACTGTCCTTCAGTATGCCTATTACTGTTAGTACCTACTTACCATGACACATTGTTTGAATGCTTTTAAGACCATATATTGGTTTCTCGCTTTGGGGAGTCTACTGTTGAAATGCAGATGAATTAGATGAGCCAATGTATGCTGAAATATAGGCTCCTTTTCTTTGGTGTACTAACCAAAGGCCATAGGGCTTAACTGGAAACACATCAAGGGTGCTGGGGGAGAGGAGGAATGCAGGACAGGTAATAGGACATCACCCATCACCCCACCCACAGGGGTCAGACCTGACCTCTCAAACATGGGGTAGGGAAGGGTAGAGCAGGAATATGCCCAGGGAGGTTACCAAGGAATTTCAACATTGTGGTATTCAGGTCATGACAGAAGGTGGGAGTCCATGTTTACCTGGCCAGAGGCATTTCTCAAGATTCTTGCAAGACTCTTCACTACACACATCTGGGCAGGACAACTGTTTTATAGGACAGCTGATTGGCGTCCCACTTTTCTGAGGTCATTAAAAGGAAGATGCCAATCAGTGAATAGATTCCAGATGAACTGGGACCAGGAAGGAACAGAGCCAAAACAAGGAGAAATACCAGACAGTAGGATGTGGTGTTGCTATACCATAGATAATCTATTAGACAGAGAAAGACACTAGGCTGGGAAAAAAAAAACCTGTGGATTTTTTTTTCTGTATTATAGGACTCGCCCATGACTCTTTCATGAGAAAACTGAGGAGTGACTAATGGTCACTTTGGGACTCATGTGAAAAGAATTACAAGACTGGTCATCAATAAATTG